AGGGAGAACCTGAGGAATGAGACGGAGGAGGGTCTCTTCTCTTCACTCTTGGCCTTTGGGCTTCGGGAGACCAAAAAGCGGACTCATTTGTGTTCCTCTCATCTTCTTATCTCATACCCACTTCCCACTTCCAACCTCTTTTCTCATCAAAATCTTTTTCTTTTTTACTGGGACAAAGGAAAAGTTAGTTAATTTACATTATTATGGTTTGCTTTATCGACTTTGGAATATTACGCCATGATAATGATCGTAATGAAGATTGAAGAGTAGAGAAGAGCCCTACACTACACCTCCCTGCCACCTGTTATCCTTCTCTTCGTCATAACCTTCGTTTCCATGAATCACAACAGTTTTACGCGGTTTTTGCTTTTTTTAGTCACACATCACACGGAGAGGCCGACTGCTCAGAGCGGAAGCCGGAAGCTCTTCTTCTCTCAGCTCCGGCTCAGCTTCAACTCTCCAACTCTGCCAAGCGCCAACTGGGGAGTGGAAACAGGGGACGAGAGAGTTAGTGGCCTAAGGCCTTGGCTTGGCTTGGCTGGGCCGGGCCTACTACATGGGCTATTGGGCTGGTGTACAATCTACAATGTCCCTTAATGCCCAAGACCAAGCCTGCTCCTCCAGCATCAGAGATCAGACCCTGCAAATTGTCTGTCACCCTTAGCCCATTAGGAATTCACATCCTCTGTTCCCTTGGTACAGAAAATATTTTCTGTATCAGATGAATAGCAATCTGACACATTTGATTGTTTTCCCCATTTCAAAATTAAAATGATGTGGAAGATTGCTATTAGTCTGGTTCCAAGGGGACAGACGATGTGAACTCGCCCATTAAATCTTTTCCTCAAAATTAAAAAATGGTTTAGAAATTAGTATGGTTTTCAAACCGTCTCTGACCCACGTGTTCCGATCGATCGGCACAGAACTATTTGTTTGTCAAAAATCGTTGATTTTGACAGCGACCCACTCGATATGATCGAGGTGATTAAGCCATCGATTTGTTTGATTCGAATAACAGTTTTTGGCCAATTTTTTTTAATTGCAATGGGCCATTCATTCGGACCAGACAATCAAACCACTGACCCAAAAACCAATGGCCCAAACAGTTCTGGCTCCGGGTTAGTTTTTAAAACATTGGAAGCCCCTAAGCCAAGATCAGGCAATAAGAGCAACCTAGTTCATGCCAACACAAATCCAAAATGCATTGAGTGTGCCCTCGATTCCTTTGCCATGCTGAGATGGAGGACAAGATCTGCATGCATGCTAAGTGTAATGTTTTACTTAATCAAGACAAGTCCGGATTTTCTACCAACAAAACACATTCCAACCCCTACCAACATGATCTAACACCGAACATATCTCATTCATGCTAGGTCCCAGTCTCATGGTGAGATTTGCGATGTTAGATGAAATTGATAGGGGATTGGAACATGTTTTATTGGTAGGAGATCCCAATTAAATGAAGACATAATTACTACATCTACTACAAATTTTGAGAGAGAAATGTAATTTGTAATGTCTGTTTAACATTTAAGTTGTGCGTCTGACCAGACCACTTAATCTTGCAATTCATGTTTTCTCTCCCTCCTACAAGAAATAAATGTTCTCAATGCATGATTACAAAAAGACTGTGAGAACGGTTTTGTTAGGACGGAATCCAAATTCTAATTATTGAATTTCATATGCAGGCTCAAACTTACAAACTTAATGACTCCACTGTCCACTGAGCCTTATCCCAATTCCCAACTATATGGTGTTGCCCATCTGAATCTTGCTATGTTATTTGGCATTGTTAGTGTTAATGCCATTTTTTCGATGCCCTTAATTGTTATATCTATTGGTAAATTAGTGGCCCTTAAATCAATTGGGAAAGTTGGTTAATGGGATTTTAGTTTTCATTGACAAAAAATCTATATTCTTTTTTAGATTTATGTGGAATCTATGGAAATTTTATTTTCCCTCGGTATCACTTACCCAGGTAAGTGATGCTTATCTCCCAAGTGAATAATTAACTTTTTAATCTGGGGACAAAGTTGCCGACACTTGGATGGGACAAAATAATCATTTTTAATAATGACTTTTTATGGCTAAAACCGTCATTTCTTTATTTACATGGGAAATTAAGAACATGGATAAATGCACTTACCCGGATAAGTAACTTACCAGAAAACAAAAAGGACCTAAGTGTAACCAAACCATATTAATCTACTTCTTCTCATTTTATCATCTATTGAAATTGCTCCTACATTCCACTTATTTTTTTAATATGTTTCTTTAACTGCTGGAGACATGTTTGGAAARACATAAACTAAATGCCAATTTTGTCCTTGAAAACTTTCCATCAACTTTCTATTTCTCTCCTATTTCCTATCAACTAAAACACAGCCAAATTTGATGAATCACTTGGAAATTGACTTGGTTAGAAGAAAAGACGGTCTCTTTATTAAACAATTATATTAGAAGTGAAAAGAGTTGTCTTCTTCTTGCCAGCATGTCATTGCCACGATAAATCAATGATGCAAACAATTGCTAATGATTCATGATTCTCATGGTATATGATACCTCACTATAGTTACAAAAGATGTGTTTTTCAAGGTACTGTTTGGAACTGATGCCATTTCTCAAGATTTCTTTTATGAGAAAATGGTGCTGCATTTGAGGAAAGGAGTTTTTTTTTTAGGACTGTTGCTGCCACCTAAGTGTTCCACATCAGCAATCCATTGCCAGCAATAGTATAAAAATGAAAAAACACCATTTTCTCAAACTGTGCCTTTCCTGATTTTCAAAGCGTGGTATAAAAAAAAATATTTTTTTTGGAAAAAAGCCCAAACCAAACAGGCATAACTTTCCCCAATACCGAATCTCCTACGGGCATGAAAAAATGGCATCGAATCCAAACATGGCCCAAATTAAGTTTGTGAAAAATGAAAATCCAGACAAATAGAACAATAACTTTGCTTATTATTGTGAGAAATGAAAATATAAATACTCCACTCATAGTGGTGGGCTTACCCTGGAGTGGAGAACCATGTATATCTCTTAAGCAGCTGAATCAAAGAGTTTAAGGCTTTTTTTTTTTATTTATGAAATTTGGTTTCAAGAAGCATCTTAGTGATACTTACATCACCCAATGATGAAGCTGAAACAAAATAGAAATTTGCTCCAGGCTCCAAGTATAATGTTTATTGCAAGACAGCATTAGTTTATTAATTAATGAAAGATGAAATTCAATTGAGCTTTTTAATAAATATTAAAAGTTCCAATTGGATTATAATTGTTATATTTGTTGGCAAGTGAACTTACTTATATAGAAAGGTGATATACAATAATGCATATGCATGTGCAGAGTCACCCCCACCATTATTTTAAGTGGGATCTGGGCTGGGTTAGGCCCACTGCCCATACTAACATTCCACCTACCTTAGCCTTTCGGTAGTCGGTACTGCTATGTGATGCATGTAGGTACATAACATTATTTATTAAGACTCGTTTGGTTTTGAGTTGGGATCTGCTTCTTATAGAGTGTTTTTCACACCGACCTCATTCGTACATTGGGAACATTTCCCATATTTGTATATTATTATTCATGGGAGATGTTCCTAATGTATGGTGGGATGTAACTGTAAGGTTGTGGGAATAGGGGTCTGGAATTGGAATTAGAATGGTCTATTCCAATCYCCACTATTTGGTTGAGTGGAATCAGAATTCTTTTTCCTTTTTTGGGAATGTAAATTCATTCCAACTGATTCCAATTTGAATATCGATTCTTGTTTGAATCAAACAGATGGGTGGAATAGACCATTATAGTTCTAATTCCGACATATTTAGATTCCAATTCTGATTATGAGCCAAACAGACCCTTAGTATAATATTTTCAAATTATAAGATGAAAAAATATCTTGAAAAAAAAACAAGCTAAAAGGGACAAACGAGTTTTGTTTGGACAAAGGGCAAGCAATGAAACAAAAGGTAAATCCAGGTCGTCGTGGACTAGAAGGAACTTGTCCAATATTCCTTGTTTATATAATAAATTCATTAATTGATGTTATAAATTCATAACTCATTGTATTTTTTTGGGGGGAAATTGTCTAAAACTCATCATGAATTTTCAACATTTCTCTTAAGCTCACCACAACTTTTCAAAATGTCTAAAACTCACCATGTCAATAAGTTTTTATTTTTCAAAACTCACATTCCGTTAGTGCACCGTTAATGCTTCTTAACAGAGGTATCCATGTCAGCATAAATAACCAATTTTCATGATCAAATTACCCTTGAATGGTGAGTTAGAGGAAAAATGGTATTTTTCAGTTTTCAACTTTCTTGTTTTTCTTTTGCATTTTTAATGTTTTGTTATAATTTCTGTTTGTTTACATTTTTCTATTCTCTACAATCTATAAATTTTCTTGTATTTTTGTTATTTATTTACAATTTTTGTGTTTTCTATAATTTTTGGTGTTTTTTCTATAATTTTCATTTTCTGATTTTGTTTTTCAATTTCTATAGTTTCTGTAATTTGAAAATAATTTTTTATTTTGTTTGCAATTTCTATATTTTTTGTAATTTCTATGTTTTTATGTACTTTATATTTGAAAATATTTTTTTTGTACTTTTTCCTTTTTTCATGTCTAAATATTAAAATGGTAATATATTAACAATTTAACACCCGTTAATTTATTTTGTATATATTTTATATTTTTTATGAAGGTTAAAATGGTAATATATTAACACCCGTTAGTCTGTTTAACGTCAAGTTAGTGACATGGTGAGTTTTAGACATTTTGAAAAGTTGTAGTGAGTTTAAGAGAAATGCTGAAAACTCATGGTGAGTTTTAGACAATTTCCCTTTTTTTATTCATAATTCATAACTCATTGTAGATGGAAGGACTTTAATTTCATGCACATTTAAATTTTTTGATCTAAACTTAACTTTTTAAGATTTCATGGACCCTTG